CCCCTTGTTGCCTCCGCCGAATGAACCATCCTAATGAGGAGCAGTCCTCTTCAGCCCCAACCAGTGGCAGACCCACTTACAACCCTGCTTACCTCGAGGCATGCCATTCCCCCAAAAGTATGTTCCGATCTTTCCACTGTTCTAATCTGCCACCGCTAGATGTTATCCAGCTCCAGATCTACCTTTACTCCTTACAGAGCAATCACCTCCCGCGTTGTGATGCTCCTATAGAGATCAGTTCCCCCCATACTACTCGCTTGCCATCTCGCTTGTATACAATGAATGGCGACTAGAGGAGAAAATGGTTGGAAAAGGTCACTAAAAAAAAACAGTAATAAAGCAGATGATGATGATGTTAATGAAAATGTTGATTAGGGTTGAATTAGCTTCCCCTCTCCTCCCCACCTCTTCCCCCCCCCTTCCCTCCCCTTCACCCCCCTGCTGCCTCCACTAAGCAGAACTGCACTGAAAACGGCCAGTTTGTTTCAGCCCCAACAGAAGGATGACACCTCAACCTTCCTAACTCCCCTTGAGGCAACCGATTCCCTCTAAAGGTACACCTCTATCTGCCCCTGCCCTAATCTGTCACCGCTTAGAAGGTGATGCGACCCCTTTCATCCCTCCCAGGCCCATATTGGAACAGTGATCCCGAATCTGCCCTTACTCCCTATAGGGCGAGCACCTCCCTCCTTGTGTTGCCCTTGCGACGTAGAGCTCTCCCCGCCTTAACCCACCTACTATCTCAACTAAAGTGAACCAGAAACCAGCGAGGGAAAGCCAATAATAATGGGAGACTACAACTGATGATAATGATAATGATGACGATTAAAAAAAAGTTAGATGATTATAATTTATACTACAAATTAGTAAGCATTTGTAGATGATTAAGATAATGTTATAACTACAATTCAGCAGATTTTTGGAGGATATCTTAAACACTAAGGAGAAACTACGGGAAATTCCAATGGATGATCAGACATGACAGACGTGACACATCTGTGACTAGTTTGAAGGAAGACAGGAGAGATTGATTAATTAAATTTTAATAATTAATTCATAAGTTTTTTAGGTATAAAAAATACCATTCATGCTAATTAACGTGAAATCCAGTATGTGAAGATAAGGATAATGAGGAATATAACGAGATTTTAGTTAGGATACTAATTAACGATGATAATAATCGAAGAATAGTTGAGATGTTAATTCAAGATGATATTTATGAGGAAGAGTAAATTGGTAATAAAAGGATTGGTTAGATGGAGTATAGTTCTAATTGGAACTACTTGATAAATTCCTAATAATGAGTGCAGATAAGAGTCTTAGATTGGAAAAACGAAATCCCTCCCTACTCCCTGGAAAACACGACCCCATGTCCTCACTCACAAGCTCTTCCCCTTCCCTGCCTCCTTCTCCCATTCCTTCTACTATTTCAATCCCCTCTCCCGCCCTTCCCTCCTCCACTCCCATCCTTGTTCCCCCTCTTCTCTCCATTCTTTCCCAAAGGAGGAAAGTGAAGGAGAGAAGGACACCAAAATGCAAAGCAGAGTGAGAGTGTGAAAGGAGAAAGAAGGCAGAAAAAAAGGAAATGGGGGAGATGGAGAGGAGAAAATGAGATGAAGCTGGTGGGGAGGAGGGAGAAGAGAGGGAGAAGAGAAAAATCCAATTGAAAAGTGGAAAGAGGTAAAAGAGGGGTAAGATGATGATGATGATGATGATGATGATAGTAATAATGATGATGATGATGATGATGATGATGATGATGATGATGATGACACCCGACTATAATAGCGATGATGATGATGACAAAACTGAAGATGAGGCTGGTGATGACTACCGTCTTGATAATGATACCACTGCTGCCTTGCCGCTGCTCTGCTCCTGTAGAAAGCTCGCTATCTCCTGCATTCACCCCGCAGCCCGTGCTTGCCATCACGACACTTCAACCAAAGTGGTACTCTTACCACCTCCAGGGCCTGTGCTCGCCATCGCCAGCACTTGCTCCACAGCAAATACATGAAGACAAAGCCATGCCCCTCAGTCACTTATTCCCCTCGCCAGCAAGCAGCCCGAATAGATGATGATGAAGATTGTTGATGAGTGGCATGGCCCCCCCACAAGGTGCTGCCCTGCCACTGATAATGATGAAGAATGTGTGCACTCCTGGCATTAATGACTACAAAACCCCATCGCACCCACTCTGCATGACGGACAGTATTCCACCATCCTTGTCAAGGAAGTATGCTCCCTCCGGAAAACAAACCTCACCTTCCCTCTGTGCACCAGCCTGTGGTGCCACTAGAGGAAAGTACAGAGCAAGCACTCCCCCTTCATAGCCAAAAGTACCAATCGTGCCTCATGCTGATCTGGCCTTTTATCTGCTCAGCTGCCAGCAGCGCCCGCCGTCGGCAACGCCCGCCAGCAGCAGCGTCCGCCAACAGCAGCGTCAGCAACTACAAAAGTCCAGCAGCTACTGGACTTCAACACAATGTGTCGGCCGGAAGCGGCAAACAAAGGAAAGGGGAGCCAACCCATAACCAGCAGAAGATGCCTGGAAGGATGATCAGCAAGTACAAAAGTCCAGCAGCTACTGGACTTCAACACAATGTGTTGGGCACTCAGTGCGGAAGCGCTGCTGCAGTCTTGTGCCTTAGGGAGGCGAACAAGTCAGTGAAAGTGAGTGTAGTGCAGTGTAGTCAATGGCGATGGGTGCCATAGCCATAGTTGTAGAGTGAGCGTAGCGCAACGTAGTCAATGGCGCTGGGCGCCATAGCCGTAGTTGTAGTGTGAGAGAGAGGAAGGCATTCTCAGAGGCGAGTGAGGGTGAGAGCAAGAGCAAGGAGAGAGAAGAGAGAGAGGGACTTACTTTCGTGCTGAGTTGAGCGACCATAGCCGTGGTGAAGAAGCTTGGGTTGGTTCCAGAGACTCTCTTGGACGCCGTGTGTCTCGTGTGAGTGCTGTGAGATGTAGAACTCATGTCTGAGTGTGCCATGCCACACCACTGTCAAAACGAAAACAGAAGGAATGCATCTGCCGCAGAAAGTGGTAAGATGCATCCATTGCTATTCATTGTAACGGATGCATCTTGCCCTTCTTCGCGGGAAGATGCATTTCGTTCGTTTTTCGTTTCCACAGTGGTGTGGCGAGGCCCTGAGTGTGCCGTGCATGGCGGTCTCTTTCCAGTTAACATGGGCATGTGCGCAGCAATTTGGCGGCCAGCCCGAGGAACAGATGTGTGCGACAAGACAAAGCTTACACTTCTGAGCACCTGTGGAGACGGGCAATACTGAACATACGAGAAGACATCCACGCGGATTGCATTCACCGGGAATGACAGACTCCAATCACTGGCACAGAATGCCTCTTTCTCTACGAACTATCATCGAGACCCCAGTACCCTGAATTTATCTCTTTCAACATCCAAGACTGTTTTTTTCTTGGGGCCCATTGGGCCGCACTCCACTACTCTCCACATGCACAAAAGACAACAAACAATGGCGGTTGTACCTACCTTTCCATGTTCTAGGGGAAGATTCATTCTCATTTTGCACATTAAATTTTTTGGTGAGTAGTGCAGCGAGGCCCATTCTCTGCGATGTCCTTCAGGAAGCCACAGAGAAACGGGGGCATGCACTCCACTCCTACCACCTGAAGCTCCTTTTCCACCTACCATCTTGAAGTTCCCCCGAACACAACGCACCCTCATTTCCAGCTGGAAAGATAACTTGTATACGTTCGTTATAGGGTATGTTCTGCTCGGGGGAAGATGGTAGGACAATTAGACCAGTATATACAAAGCTACAGAAAGTATTGATAGAAAGCTAGACAGATTAGTAGTTGAATTTGAACTGGCCTAGCTCAGTTGGTACACCCCTGAACTGTTAAAATGCAGGGGGGGGAAAAAAAAAAAAAAAAAAAAAGCCAGAGTTTGAACTCCACTGGAAGCAGATGAGTAAGATTACAACAATTTGCAATTATCACTGAGGCCTGTTCGGTTCCGTGCTGATATCTCAAGGCCATCAGGGCGTCGCCTTTTAAAAAAGAGGAACAAAAAATGAACTTTTTTTTTTTTTTTCTTAAAAGACACATATATTCCAAGTAGCTTAGGAGAGGCAGGGGACCTCACAATTCAACCCGGAGTATCCCGGCAGAATCAGCACAGATGATCAGGCGTTTTCAATAAGTTTGTCCTACCGTCTTCACCCGAATAGAAAGTCCGGTCATTATTGCCGCATCTGGACAGAAAATGGCCCCAAACGGGTGAAGACGGTAGTCTTTCCTAGAACCAACGGCTCTGCCCTGTGCACAGACTAAGGGCCAGATCCCACTGGCAAGGACGATTGGAATAAGTGTCTGAATCTGGACGTGTTCCACGCAGAGATGCAGAAAAGCAGATCAATCACCGTTTTCTGCACCTCTCCACAAACACATCCACATTCAGACATTCATTCCAATCCTCTTTGCCAGTGGGATGTGGCCCTAAGTCTTCACTGTGTGTCTTTTTTTTTTTTTTTTTTTTTTGGGGAATTTTTTCGAAATGCCCCTGAAGTTTGCGTTTATTTGTGGCGTGCCCCTCTGACGGCCGACTTACCTTGTCGTGCCCCTCTGACAACGAATGATGTTTCCAGAAAAACCCTGGCGTCGTTTGGGCCTGAAAATGTTTCATATGCCCCTACCGGTACCAGTACCAAATTTTCAGTATGCCCCTACCGGATGGCCGTTGAGAACCAGCACAAAAGTTTCCCATATGCCCTTATTGGTACTGTCCATCTTTCCAGCGAGCCCCTGTGGCCGTTGTTGACACTCACAGTCTTTCCCCTGGCCCCGGGAGAGATGCTACGGGGGCATATCAGAAATTTGGCGATGATCATGGACACACACACACACACACGCGCACGCACACGCACACACACAAACACACACACACACACACACACACACACACACACACANTCTCACCAAGGAGCAGTAGACGACTTGGTTGGTGGCGGCGCGAGTCCCAGTTCTGCCGCCGCCGCTGCCGCCGCCACCACCGCCGCCGGCAGAAGCCGCGGGAAGAGGTATCATCGCCACGTGGCAAATGTTGAGCTATCGGCGGGTGCGCCGACGACTTCCACGAAAGCGAGCGCCAACGGTGTGGTGGCCGCTGATCACGATGACCTCGGCAAGAGCGGGAAAGGCGCCGCCGCCTCCGCCTCCTCTGTTCTACCCATCGCCGTGGCCTCCGACCGCTCCTCTTCTTCCGCGGATATGGAGAAGAACGGGGCGGGGACGGTGGCGGCGAAGCTGAAGCGTGTGACGCTTCCCTCCCTCTCTCCGTCTACTATGGTGGAGGAGGAGTGGGTGGCGGAGGAACTGCGCGCCAATGGGCAAATGGGCACGAGGAAGACGAAGCTGATATGCACGATAGGTCCGGCGACCTGCTCTGCCGAGCAGCTGGAGGCGCTGGCGCTGGGCGGCATGAACGTCGCACGACTTAACATGTGCCACGGCACGCATGATTGGCATCGACAGGTCATTCAGACCATAAGAACACTGAACAAGGAGAAGGGATTAGCGGTGGCGGTGATGATTGATACGGAGGGCAGCGAGGTACACATGGGCGACTTGAAGGAATCGCCGGTGAAGGCGTCGGACAACGACGTGTGGACTTTCAGTGTGCGGCAGTTTGTCGGCCCTCTGCCGCCCAACACGTTGATGGTGAACTACGATGGCTTCGTCGATGATATCATGGTGGGAGACGAGATCGTGGTGGACGGAGGTATGTCGCGATTCGAGGTCATTCAAAAGAACGGTCCCGACGTGATAGGTAGATGTACGGATCCCGGTCTCCTGCTGCCACGTGCCAATCTTACCTTCTGGAGGAATGGTCAATTACTCAGAGAGAGGAACTCGATGCTGCCAACCATAACCTCCAAGGATTGGATAGATATTGATTTCGGGATTGCAGAGGAGGTAGACTTCATCTCGGTGTCGTTTGTGAAGTCAGCGGATGTGATAGTCAATCTGAAGAGATACATCGAGACGAAATCGCCGAAACGACCGGTCGCAGTCGTGGCAAAGATAGAGAGTGTAGAGTGCTTGTCTCAGCTGGAGGACATCATAGGAGCATCGGACGGTGCGATGGTGGCGCGGGGGGACTTGGGAGCGCAAATAGCGCTTGAGAGAGTGCCAGCTGTCCAGCAACAGGTGGTTCAGCTTTGCCGCCAACTGAACAAGCCTGTGATCGTAGCCTCTCAGCTGCTTGAGTCGATGATCGAGTACCCGACCCCGACGCGCGCGGAGGTGGCGGACGTCGGGGAAGCTGTGCGTCAGAATGCCGACGCGCTGATGCTCAGCGGGGAGTCGGCCATGGGGAAGTATCCCATGAAAGCTCTCGAGGTTCTCGCAAGCGTGAGCACTCGGATTGAGAACTACAGGCACGAAGATGACGACGACGACCTTGTTCATCTCACCAGACTGTCTTCTGAGCCGTCGGATCGCATCAGCGAAGAAGTGTGCATCGGTGCCACGCAGATTGCCAATAATCTCGACGTCGAGGCGCTGTTCGTGTACACGAGGTCGGGACAGATGGCATCCCTACTCTCTCGTTGCCGTCCTAACTGCCCAATCTTCGTATTCACTGACAGTCAGGTCGTCAGACAACGCCTCAGTCTCTATTGGGGTCTGATACCCTTCCGCCTGCGATTATCAGAGGACATGGAGACGAACGTAACGAGAACGTTCGCTCTGTTACGTAAGAGAGGATTCATGAAGCCTGGGGATATGGTGGTCATGGTGTCTGACCTCTGCGCGCCGGGGCAAAGAGAAATCCTTCAGTCGGTACAGATCAGGAAAGTATCGTGAAGGAAGGGAAGAGAAATTGTACGGAAGAGGAAAACTCTCTCTCTCTCTCTGTCTGCGTCTGTCATTTTCTCTCAATCGAGCCCCGTAGATTGGGCAGGCGATGTGGTTGGACGTCATCTGCAGCGCGCTCTGCCGGGGGCAAGAAGAGAACAGACAAAGACGTAGTCTTCTTCAGTCGGTTGACATCAACAATTACATTAGGGAGGCTTCGTCGCGAAAGAGAAAACACATCTTCACAATCAATCCAGCGCTCCTTCACAATCGATCCAGATGTAACTACGCACATCGTTGTCGTCATCAGTGCAGGATCATCACCTTTTTCTCCCTCGTATTGCCCTGGAGTCGAGATTGGAGTACGGCAATAAAAATACCTGAGCTGCTGATTCCATCGTCTTTTTTTTTTTTGTTGTTTTCTGTTGACGACTCCTTTATTTCCTTGGTTCGTCTACTCTTTTCCTCTCGTCGAGCTGCTGCGGACTGTCGCGTGATTCCGTAGAACTCATTGCGTACGGACAGTGGCGCGGTGACGTACAAGTGGGTTATGTACGGACGACGAAAGTGGTGATTTAGGATTTGACCATGCATGAGTATAGCTCCTTTTTTTTCTTTCTCATTTCTATCTGTTGCTCTCCCGCCGTGGGCGCGTATCCTGGCGCCCTTATCGCTCTTTTTTGCTCGTTTTTGCCAATCCTGGATGCATAAAAGCTACTTTCTGGCTTGATGCATGTTTCTGGATATGGTTGTGACCGTTGACGTGAATCGCTGGATACTGTCAAGACTAAGATGCTTGTGTATTTTCTCCGTGTGGAAGCTGTGTGCGCTTCTGTTTGCTCTCTCGTTTCCGTTGCTCCGCTGCCGTTCGGCCATCTGCGTCCTTCAACGTCACTGCCCTCCCCTCTGCACGAGGCTTGTCGTCTTCCACGTGTCAGCAGCTATTGTGCACGCCTGGTTCTTCTTGTTCTGTGCATGGGGTTTGTCGTCTTCCACGTGGCAGCAGCTATTGTGCACCCCTGGTTCTTCTTGTTGTCTTAAGTCTCAGCCGCAACGTCACTGCCCCCCTCTGCATGAGGTTTGTCGTCTTCCACGTGGCAGCAGCTATTGTGCACGCCTGGTTCTTCTTGTTCTCTGCATGAGGTTTGTCGTCTTCCACGTGGCAGCAGTTATTGTGCACTCCTGGTCCTTGATGTCTCAAGTTTCAGCCCCAACGTCACTGCCCCCCTCTGCATGAGGTTCGTCGCCTCTCTAACGTAGCAGCAGCTGTGCTGCACGTGCACGCCTGATTCGTCTTGTTCTGTTAGTGCGAGCCGTTTGCTGTGTACTCGAGCCTCGCTCTCGTCTCTACCACGTGGCAGAACTGTCTGCTATAGTCGCCGTCGTTCTCCTACGGGGCATTGTTCGCCCATGTGGCAGCAGCATGCTTGGGCTCGTTTCGTCCTTGTGTACTCTGCTGTGCGCTTGAAGTCCGTCGCCCTTCCTTCCACGTGGTAGCTGTGTGATTTAGTCGTCGCGACCGTCTTCTTGCGTCGCAGGATATAGTTCGCCCACGTGGCAGCAGCATGCATTGGGCTCGATTCGTCTTCCCACAGGCTCTGCCATGGCCTCTATGTCCGTCGTCCTTCGACGTGGTAGCTCTGTGATGTAGTCGTGACCGTCTTCCTGCGTGGCAGCATACCTTTCGCCCACAGGGCAGTAGCATTCGTGGGCTTCTTCCACGTGGCAGCTGTGCTGATGAGCGCTTGAGCTCTTCGCTGTTTTAGTTGGCTGGCAGGTGGTTGCTGTGCTGCGAGTCCCTCTCACGTGTCTCTACACGGCAAGTTCTCTCTCTTATCGCTCCCCTCGTCGACGCGCCTGCTGTGTGGTCGACTGGCCTCTTTCTCCTCCAACGTCTCAGGTATGACGGACTTGAGCGGGTCAGCAATATCCACGTGGCAGCTTCTTTGCCATAGTTTCGGTCGCCCGCCTTCCACGTGGCAGTTGTGCGTTCGAGCTTTCGTCGCCCTTCCACGTGGTCGCTGTGCCTCGGTCCACGTCGGTCGTCGACGTGGCAGCATTAGGCCGCCTGAGTTTCGTAGTTGCTCCACGTGGCAGTTGTTCGTCCGCCTGGCAGCTGTATGTCCGAGGTACCGTCTGGTACTGTCTTGGGAAGATACCGTCTTGTTCTTCCACGTGGCAGCTGTGTGTGCTCGAGTTCCTCTGCCGTTGCCCGGAGTTTTGATATAGGCGTTGCCGCTCCATTTCCCGTCCTTCTTGTCTGACGGATGGGGTTGGCGTTGCCTCTGTTCGGGGGGGAGGCGGGGGAGGCCGCGCGGAGGAGAGAAGAGCTCTTATACACATCTAGATGTGTATAAGAGACAGCTCCGAGCCCCAACGTTCCCTGCTAAGCTAGTAGTATATAGGTAGGTAGTGGGAGGCATATTGACAAAATAATATAGGTTAGCTTTCAGGTAAAAAAAAAAAAAAAACAGTCATTAAACTGTAGCAAGTAACTCTTCTTGAGAGGCATCACAGACTCATTCTCATCAGGCCATACCACCTGTCCGATTCCTTGCTCCTGAGGTCCCCCTAACCAGTCCATTGTGAATTTGAGAATAGAGTTCTTGATGTCTTTCTTCTGAGTTAGAGATTTTAATTTAACTTTAAGATTAGCCCATTGAGCCCGAATTTCTGTTTCCACAAATCATTTGATATTCTGAGAAAATTCCATCCCTTCCATACTTACCTCCTCCATTACATAATATACACACCTCCTTTGCCATAGTACTCTCCTTGGCTTCTCTCTCGCTCCTCTGCTATTTTCAGACTTCCACTATGATCCCTCTCTCCAGCCTCCACCCTCCTCCCTCTCCGTCTGCTCTCTCTTTTCCTTTGTTCCTCTTACTTCTGCTCAACGTAGATCCAGAAAACGGACTCATGCACACAGGGGAACGCAGGTCGTACAGGGAACCTTTTGCTGCCATCTTGCCCCCGAACATAACACATATGCGTTGTAAACGAATACAGCATATAGGTTGCGTTCCATTCGAATACAAAGCGTACGCGTTCTATTTTGAACAGACGGCATATTTGAATACAACGCGTATGCGTTCTATTCGAATTTTTGAATTTTTTGAAAACCCGAATACAACGGATATGATTTATATTCGGGGGAAGACAGTAGTCCCCCCCTCTCCTCGCTGCCGTTGCCTCCGATGCTTCATGTACTACAAAAGAGAGCAGCAGACATACCTGCCTCTTTTTTCTTCTTTTTCTGTACTTCAAGCAAGTTAGCACTCCTGATTGTAGCACCCTGACTATAGCACACTTAGCACTCTAAGCAAGTTAGCACTCCTGATAGGCATAGCACACCTAGCGGAGAACCCTAAGTATAGCCCACTCATCATGCTCACTGTGGCACTCTGACTATAGCACAGTTATCCGCATTTGCAACGCAGTGCTGTAGCAAGCAAGCATTCTTCATAGAGCACACTTAGCACCCTGAGTATAGCACACCTAATGCCCTGAGTATAACATAGTTATCACTCTGGCTGTAGCACCCTGACTATAGCACACTTCACATTCTGGGAATTAGCACTTTTAGCAAGTTAGCACTCCTGTTATAGCAAATTTAGCACCGTAAATATAGCACACTTATCCCCGCTGGCTATAGCAGCTTGACTACAGCACACTTCGCTGCTATGTGACTGGTTGAAAGCGCACTTCAGGAGGGGGGGAAAAGGGAAGGGGGGGGAGGACGGGAGGGGAGGGGCAGAAAAGACAAAGAAATAGTTTTAAGAAAATGGAAAAGAGAAAAATCGTACTTGAGCAAAGTATCACCATGTTCGCATGCCCACGCAAAGATGACAGGACTGATATGCAGAGACACTCACACCAAACAGGAGAGAGAAATTAATATGCAAGCGGAAGCACCATAACCTCGAAAGGCTCGAAGAACTGAATGTGAACAATTCGAAGTCTCTAGCCTTCCTTTTTTTTAATGAACAATTTAAAGTCTCTCACCAATTGCTTTTTTTTTTTTTTTAATGTTATATTAAAACGGAGCCTTATGGCCCCGGGTCCATATCCATTCTGGGGTGCGTCGATCCGGTTCCTATTCCACCGACAATTTAACATACGGTATACAACACACTCCACCCTTCTTCCGTCTATGGTAAAGAGACCGACCAAGTGGGCGGCAGTGATAAATGGAAGAGGCACAGTTAAACAGGAGCTGCCTTTTTACTGTGCCCTTTTTACTGTGCAGTTGAACTGAATCACAGAGAAGAGAAGAGGCACAACTGGGTATAAACTGCCTTGATCAAACTGGAAAGACAAGTTCAGACAAGGCTATAGAGTAGTATAGACCATCCCTCATCACCACATCATCACCCCCGTCATCGCCAGCCTATATGGCTATGGTGCTCATTGGACCCATTGATAATTACATGGGGCCATGGGCCCCACCCTACAGCCCCTCAGGACCATCAGCGCCACCTCAGAACTCGCTCAAACAACCGATTTCGGGATGAAGAACGGGCCCGGAGATCTCACTTGAAAGAGAAGAAGAACTTCTGTCTGCCCTTGAAGAAGCAGAAGAAGAACTGCTTCGACTCAACAAGAAGAAGAAGAAGAAGAAGAAGAAGAAGAAGAAGAAGAAGAAGAAGAAGAAGAAGAAGAAGAAGCTCAGCTCCCCACCAATAGATGGAGCCTCCCCAAGAGTGGTAGCGGTGTCTGCTCTTATCAGCAACCCTACCACCACCTCGGGTTGTTAAAAAAAAATGAGGAAGAAGAAGAAGAAGAAGAAGCTCTTATCACCTTGCCTAGTAGGTTTTGAATCGGCCTTGTTTAAAATTAAAAATATATAATTAAAAAAAAAAAAGATATTGTAGTGCCTAACCCCAAGAAGACAGATACACATGTGCCGTCCCCAGCAAATGCTGCAGCAGCTCACAGCTATACCGCTGTTCCAGCAGCCTGGCGTCATCATCAAGTATAGCCAATCAAAGGGAGCTGGCCTATCAGTCCTAATCAAGGGATTGCTGTAGGTCTAACCTGCCGGACTGGACTCAGCTAGAACCTAGCATCCTAACGGTTATGGGTCTGTGGTTTTGCCATTAATGTGGTACCAGTCGGAGGCACAAATGTGCAGCAGCCAGTTTTCAGAGAGAGTGGATTTGAAAATGGGGCGCAGCGCGTCCGGGGGCGCTGCGCCCTGCCGTTACGACCTCACCGACGAGAGATGGAGTAGCGGGCAGACGTGGCGCGACTATGCCAGGTGTGGTTGAGCGGTAACGCGCGGCGATGTTGGGCGCCGCTGGGCATAGAGGGCGGCTATGATAGGTGCTCAACGATGCAGAGAGTCAGCGCTGTTACTGCTGCTGTAGGACGTACTCTCTATCTCCTAACACTTGAAAGCACTTGTAGTGCCATCTCACTGTCTGGTGTCTTTCACGGGGATGTTGCGGGTTAGCATGCCGTGTGAGGCAGGGTAAGGCTCTCTGCTGGGTCTTGCATCGGGAGGAATCATTTGTGCTCTTCTTCTTGCACAATTTGGTGGAGGAGGTCGGCCAGGAGCAAGAGGGAGAGGAGCGCTGTGTGTCCCACGAGATGGGAGGAGTGGAGGGGGATAAGGAGTGGAGTGTTTGAGACTGTCTTCGTCTTCACGACATACAAGCAGCAGTATCAAGCAACGGGGAGAGGTTGTTTATCTGCAGCAACGGGCTACAACGACAGGCATCATCATCAGGGAGTTATTCGTCATCCTCATCGTCTTTATCAGCATCAACAGGGTAGGTTTCAACTTTAACACCATGTTTAGGGGGGCTGCGCGACACTCATAGTTAAAATTTCATCATCGGCGCTGCTCGCCCCTTTGAGTATCATCACCATCATCATCATCTGGTCATCAACACTAGCAGCATCTAGAGTTAGCGCAGGGCGTTGGGCGCGATCATCATCGTAATCATTATCATCTTAATCATCACTACCATTATCATCATCATCTTATCAGCATCATCATCATTACCAATATCATCATTATCATCATCATCAATATCACTATCAGATTCATCATCATTGACATCATTTAGTTTCACTTTAACATCATCTGTTCTGAATCGTTAGCATATTTGCAGGAATCATCACGATAATTACGTAATTTTGTTCCTTGACTATACTTTTTAATAAATCCTGAGTTTTGTTTTAATTTCACTATCATAGCTTTGCTCCTGTTTGCCTATACCAGAACCACGCTAGCCGGAGCTGGGGTGTGGCCCTGTAACCTGCATTCGGCAGGTGCGTGAGGCCTTGTACAGAGATCTGGGGATTTGCTGAGGGAGGAAAGCAATCCAGTGGCAAACCAGGGGGGCTGCCTGGACAACCTAGGGGGCCAGGGATAGTCTAGGTGGCGAGAACAGGTCAGCTATGGCAGACTTTTGGTTAGGAGGAGATCGTCTCTAAGATGTAATATCTTGGTACAGAGGGGGTTAAGAAGGTATCAGGATTAGGAGGCCAGCAGGCACTATCTCATTCAGGTTTTGTAGGCATTCTGGTGTTCTGGGCTTTGGACAGCGTCTAACCTTCTTTCGCATCTGGGATATAGGGATTTAGAGATGGTCGAACCACGACAGATGTCTGCAGAGTTGTTCTGTTTTGTGCCCCTGGTTAGCTGATGCCAGAACGACGCTGGCCGGAGCTGGGGCGTCGCCCTGTAACCTGCAAATGGCGGGGGCATGAGGCCTTGTAGAGAGATCTGG